ATAAAAGTAAAGTTTGATCAGATGGTTATTATTATAATTAATATTAATATCAATGATCAAATGTAAATAATAACGGTATCTTAGATAGGATTAGCAGTTGATAGAGACATAATTTGAGCCGCGGGCACGGAGGGATCCTAACGTTTATGGGCCCTCTTGAAAACAATAGATTCAATAAGATTAAAGAATAAAAAAATGCTGTGTGGAACCCTTATCTTAACTAATCCCTCTAAACCTAACACAATCTCATTTCTTTTGAAGGATATCTTAATCTTATGCATATGCACATTCAGATGAGGAAGTTTGGGTCCCATTTTAGCTACCTAACAAAACCACTTATTTCCCGTTTGATTGAACATGCATGAGAGAAAAGGATTGTGAGTTTGCATTTTAGTGTCAATAGCTGCTTCTATTCACACCGCCCCTTTTATTGCTGTCTTGTCATCTCTGTCTGTTCTTCCCTTTGGCTCCATTTCTTGCTCTAATTACTCCTCCTTTAACTCTTTCTATTTCCCACCTTGATTTTGATTAACGAAATTTATCTGCTATTGCCAAGCAACAGGTAGATTCAAAAAGGAGTCAAAGAAAGAAAGATATCGATCATAATTAAAGAAGAGTTGACCAATAATCTTGATGAAGAAATGCGCCAAGGGGATAACCCAAATGAGTAGGAAATAATTGTTCTTTCTTACCACCACTTGGTGTGTTTGAACGTAGGAGCCGAGTCATTACTCTTTTGAACCATTTTGTACAGACCTACTTTATCTTTAGCTCTGCTAATGTCCTCGAAGAGAAAGAACAAGACATTATAAAGCCTCCAAAATAGTTGACAACCCCTAACCCCACCATGTCTTCTGGCTTATCCCTGTATAAAACTATTTTATCTGTGCTACTTAATTCATATAAATTAGACCTCTTTTTTTTTTTCACCGAGGTGTTCGTGTCAGCTTACGCGTATCTCAATTAATCTTTTAAGACCCTAGATTTATTGGTCGGATAAAAACTCCCGTGACTACCCTTATTACTATTCGATGAGTGATTTAAACTCCAAATCTCTTGAATAATATACCTAAAAGTCCTTATCAAACTGTTCAACCACATGGTCGACTTCATTGTCATAGGAATCTTTACAATTCATTAGAGAGGTACAAATTACACAGCGTCCTCATTCATGTCAAAGTCAGTCAAACTATTATACATCCGAGGCTCTACCAGGAAACTAATTTTAGATTGATTCTTAAACAACTTCAACCTCAAACTAAGCATAGAATCAGCCTACTTGTCTCCACAAGAGGCCTTAACATTTACTGTGATTAACAGCTGTGATGTATAATCTTAAAAAGTGCACTAAATAGTTGTTTTAACTTCAAATTCTAATAGGCTCCATAAAAAGGGCCAGAAGGAATACATTCCTTTTTAAAAGGCACTCTTTTCATCTCTTTAAAGCTTAGGGTACCTCACACGCAAGCCACACTTTTCCTTTCCCTTTGCAGTGGCTACAAACACTTTAACATTCCCAAATACCCCCCCAAAAAAAAAATATTTATAAAATATTTAAAAAAAAAAAAAAAAAAAAAGAGATATGAAAGCAATGTTCACCGATCTTTGCACTCTCTCTCTCTCACTGGGGATATTTGGAATGTTATAAATGCCAAAACCAGCTAACAGAAAATGTGAGGATAATACAGATGCAAACAAACAACCTCCTGTACAGCTGAATTCTGAGCGTACTATATGTATAGTATAGTTTGTACATGCATTGAGCAAGAAGAAAGAATTAAAAGACATGAGACCCCACTGACTCTCCCTTTCTAAATAATGTTTGATATTGATCAGCAGACCCACCAGGCAGTGGCACCAACACTACTCTCGTCACTGTTGAATCTAAAATTGTGTTCCTTCTCTCTCTGTCTTGCTCTACTTTTGTCATTAAGTTACAACTTTTTTGCTGGGAGTCACTTAAGTCTAGTGACTTAACTAATTAATAAAGAAATTGTATAGTGACATTTGTTTATCGTTATTCAGGATCTTTGTTGAGACATCAAATTAAGATCTTTGCTTCTTAAAATGAAGATCACACAGCTAGATAAAGGTGAATTTGTGACATAACCCTTCTTCTTAAACCCATTCAATTATTTGATTTAAAATCTTATTTGAAAAAGTAAGTGGAAACATCACCACTAACTAGACAAAGATTGATCATCTGCTCATAAAGTGAAAATAGTAGACTAAACCAAACAAAAAACTTAGATTTGCCACTAAACCTATCCCACAAAGTTCACGGTTTTAGAACAGAAAAATTTAGGGATATAATTTATTCACTAATTGAAGCCAATAAGAGATGCTGACACTTGGAATGAACTAATTAAGTCTCTGTACACAATTATTGATTTTATGTAAACTGATAGTAAATTCTGTTGAACATTTGATGAGAATAATAAATTTACTTCAAGTACCTCTAAGTAGTCTAGTGGTTTGCTTGGGACTCTTGGATATATTACTTAAAAGATTTTAAGTTTGAATCCTTACGACTACTAATAAGGGGTAGTCATTGGAGGCTTACCTGGTCATTAACTTCAGAACCCCAAGCGACTAGTCCCCCAAATACCATTTAAAAAAGGAAAAAAAAAATTATTTCATCTATCAATACAACTGAACAATTGAAAGATGCCAATTTGTTTACCATTAAATGAGTCGGTTCATATCTCTTGTATTCACAAGTTGTTCACAAAGTGTTGCAGAATTCAGAATTCCAACTGAGCGCAATAAAAGGTTCTTTTCTTTTTTCCTTCAGCTTTTTCGATCAATCACTGGTCAATATCAGAAAAGAGCAATTTTATTAAGCCACAACACAAGCGGTCCAGTTAATATAAATCATGCTTTGAAAGGAAACAATGAAACCAAGACCCTAACTCAGTGCATTATAATGCATGATTTGGATATCCCTTTGGCTATTAGTCACGCCTAGTTGTACAAACGAATGAATAATCAATGCCAAGACTTTAAGACTGGAAATCAGTTTTACTAGTAGAAAATTCAACCAGAAGTCCCTAAGGGTCAGATACAGTGATGCATCAAGACTTTGAGTCAGCCATGCAGTTAACTTTTAGGACAATATGATGTATAGTTACAGATTTAATTTCACAGTTTGGCAGTGGAGGTCAAAGCTTATGAAGAATTCAACCACTCAAAAGCCAGAAACTCAGCCGAGCTATTACTAAGCGATAGTTTCCCCCGTCTCCCCACTTCAGATTGAGCCAGACAGGTACAAATACACCATTCATTATAATATTCTGCGAGAAACAGACCACATTAAATGCTTATGCTTGTAATATTTTAATTGAGAGAGAGCACTAACAAGATCTTCAAGAAAACCAATATTATAAATTGACTGCAAACTGATTCCACTCAGCAAAGTTTAAAACAGTAGCTAAGACGATTCTTCACTTTGCCATGCATCTTTAACGGTTCAAATGTTGTGAGATAAATTATTTTTAGTGGAAAAGAATACTAAGAGAATGAAATGGAATGGTATATAATACAATAAAATATGTAGAGCAAAAACGAAGCAAAAATTAGTGGCCATGTACCAGGCTGCTGGTATAAGGTCTATTCTGAAACATTCATGCAAGAGATTGATTCTTAATGCCGAAAGAGAAAAGGTTAGAATTGATTCCCTAAGCAATAAGTGGAAATATGATAGTGACTTAAAGTTGATAAGATATTAAGCGTCCACACGGGTATTTTATGTGTCAATTAACCTGTTAATCAACAGCAGAAAATAATTTAATTGTTAGATAAACAAAACACTTTCAAACTAACAAAGCAGAAAAGGGAAACAACTAGTAACTACTTTTATCATTTTATCTTCAAAATGATTTTTTTTTTTTTTTTTTTTTTTTAATGACCGGGGTGTCTAGATCAGCTTATGAGCATCTCAACTAATCTCCCGGGATCTTGAAATTATCCTCTAGGTAGGAGCTCCAATAGCTACCTTTATTCGCAACCGAAAATAGACTCAAACTCAGGATCTCTTGAGTACTGCATCCAAAAGTTTCTCTTGAAGTCGAACCACTTGATCACCCAGAAATAGTTTCGTCAAAATGATCTGCAATGTTGTGTATTCACCTAATACTCAGAAATCCATTGAAACCAATAGTGGATATTAAAGTTTGGTAACACATACAACTAATATTCTGAACTAAGTTTTTTCCTTGAAAGACTGCAAATTCTCTTACGATATGTTATTAACTTACTGACCTGTGAATATGAAAAAAATACCAAGTATAGAGAAGATTGGAAGGATTAGCATAATATTAGGGACTTTTTCAGTTGAAAAGAAGACCTGGCTGGGGTCAGTACCATATTATCAACTTGTGAAAGAACAGTGGCTAAAAGAAAGGCAAGTCGAAATTCTAGATGCTAGAAAGGAGTAATCATAATGGGCTTCGCAATCCAAGATTCAACTATGTCATTCAAAGATATTCCTGGAAAAGTTACCAAGATTTTAACTCGGCCAAATATTGGAGGCCAGCTGAACATAATGCTTTTCCAGTTTTCTTTGCTAATTGGCTTCATCAGGGAACAATCAAACTTGGTCCTAACCATTCATCTGGCTTGAATCCTAATCAACCGATATGTCCTCAAATTTAACCAACGTACTTAGCAAGTTAGCAGCACAACACACTCTTATAGAAACTACTATCATTACAAAATTCACTCGTTACTACAATATTGAATATACAAACTGAAGTTACTGGTTCTACTTCCTTTAAAGATTGGTAAGGATCTAAATCCTAACATGGCTACTCCCTGACGACTTTCATAAACTTAAATAGATGCTCAAGTGATCTTGCAGTCCTGCACCTGAAACTAACATAAAACAAATTCAGGGCTTGAAATGGATTAACTATTACTTCCATAGAATTGGTATATTTCTCAAGCGAACAAAACATAATATAGAATTATGAATGATGAGGCATAGATTGGAGCATAAAAAGTATCCAAGAAAAGGTCAAGTGCAATGAGTGTGATTAATATTCCAAATAACGCTTTTTTAAATCCAACACTGCTGATAAACTCTGAATGAACTCAGATCAATCCAACACTGCCAATACATTCTGAATGAAACAGAAGTCCATAAATGATAAGACTGCCACACAAATCTGAATATTATCGACCGCTTATACAGACACTAGACAACTCAACATTTGACAACATCCAAAAATCAATTATTTTATTATCAAAAGCCCAAGAAATTTAAAAGTAAACCATAACAATTATTTAGATTCTTCATCTTCTTCCTCTTTCCAGCAGCATCTCAGAGTTGATCTAGGAGAGCTATTGCCCCCAGTCCTAACATATTTCTGGAAGACAACTGAACCGCCCATTCCAAGCTCTTCAAGGCCACTCTCTTCGCAACAGTATCCCTTCACATCCAACAAACAGTCCTGCTCAAGAAACTTTCCTGCGACCTCAACGTGCACAGAAATGGAGAAATCATTTGGTTGGAAACAAGCCAACACCCTCCCCACCAGCTCACACAAATTCACTTCTTTCAGATCATAACCCACCGTTTCAAAGCTTGCATAACTGAAACCGTCCTCTGGGGTAACATGGATAGTAGAGATAGCAGTCCCTTCAATTGAATTCATTGAATAACCGCAGGGGTCAAACTCAAAATCACATATCTTGGATTCTGGAAGAATGTCTCTGATACCAGAATTAATGGTCATTGTACCCGCCGAACCTGATTGGGTCTTGTAAAAAACAGAAGCCATTTCCCTGTCCAAGTCTGTCATGCACATCTCTAAAGTGTAGACAGGGTCACAAGAGATCACTGATTCTGCAGAAGCAGAGTATACATGCCATTTTTGGGACTTGCACAACCCACCAATTACATAAGCATTGCTGCCTGAACCGAGCTTCCCAAAGTAGCTATCAAGAACAGCAACTTCTTCTGAGAAATTACGATGAGGATACGGCTGACTTTCAGGGAAAATGAAGCTCCCACGTGTATACCTCACTGATTGTACTTCAAGCGAAAGGGTCTCAGCCAACTTCAGGATTGGTGGGATTGAAAGAAGTAACTTTGTTGTCCCACAGGTTTTGATGATGATCTTGTATGGATAGACAAAGAGGCTCGACTCCGACAGGACATAAGAGTCAACATGATCATTTGACAGTGACGAAACTATAGTGCACTCAGCTGGTGCCAGAATCTCATCTAACTGGGCCTTCGAGAGGTACCGAAGACCCTTTCCTTCAGGATCTGCAAAGATGCCTGGCTCAAAAAATGACATTTCAAGCCTCTTTTCGTAACCTTCAAAACCAATTGCAGAGATTGCCATGGCAGTCTAAACAGAAACTATCACTGTTGAAAAGTACTTCGCAATCACAGTGGTGCCAAAGTTGCAGGTAGATCAGAGCCAGATAGAATGCAGTTGCAAAGAGAGAGAAAGAGGAAGTCGTTGATGAAGAAAAACAAGTAAAACTAATCACTAGTAAAGCAAGATAACAGTTCACCAATCACGTTATGTGATGAGATCACAAATTTGAGGAGTATCAGGATGGCTTGCGAGCACACTGCATAAGAAAAAATAAGAATAAAACTGTTAACATAGTTTGATCATGAAAGATGGATGAATTGGTAAAATTTAAAATCATGAACATAGAAATTTTTAATGTCATTCCAGAGTGTGATTATAGCTTGCAGAAGAAAACTGTTATAATAAACTCACGTTGGAGTAAGCAGCAGATCTGAACTTCTTAATTCCGCCGTTTGGTCGAATGTCTTCAATGCTGTAACCAAGAGGAGCTTCGTAGAATAAAGACTTACTACTGCTAGACTTCTTCTTCCCACCTTTAGACTCCATTAGATCATACAATCCCTCCTGATCAAAGCCATCAAACATTAATAATTGAAGGATATCAACAAACAAAAAAAAAACTCAAATGATTAAAAAAAAATTATTCCAAATCCAAATAAGAAAATAGTTTGCAGAGCATACCAAACCTCCAGCAACAATTTGAGAAAAACTATGCAGGTCCAAATAAAACAGAATTAAATTCAAGTCATCAAATAAAGGGAGTCAAACAAGTAATTCAAAATGCGATATATGTAAAAGTTCCTGAAGACGGTTAAAGAATAAAAATATAAAGAATTTTTTTGTTTTGTTGAAGAAGGAAATTCAATTCCTAATTTAAGATCCTCAGCTGGTTACAGAACAATGAAAACAAGTCATACAATTGTGACTGAAAAGTTTACAGAGAAAGAAAAGAGAGTTTTGTGCTTTCTCCCAACCGTGTTCTTAAAAGAATTATCTTTTACAAATTTGGACTATGTTTAGTTTAAAAAATGAATTTCATATTTCACGATAGAGATATGTTAAATTGATAATGTGTTTTAGAAACCATAACTAATAGGATTTAATCGTATTTAATCATATTATTACAATTCAAGCTCATTGCATTCATTGCATTTAGTAAGCTGTTGATTTAAAAATTACAATTACACAATTTTATGAAAATAAGTGGCCGTATCCAACCATTCTTCGAAACAATTAAAATAAAAAATATCAGTATTTAAACAATTATTATTACAACTATCAATTCAGCATCCAAATCCCAATCTATCCTTGGCTCAAAACCAAAATAAGTTCATTAACCTAAAATCTAATGAACTTCTAACATCAAATTCGTTACAAAAAAACCGCTAATAGTCATAAACATGCACGCAAATAAAAACCCTAAGCTGAAATTCTTAAAATTATTTCACAGAAAGAAAATATAATTTTCGAATCCATACTTACAGATATTACAAGTCCCGATCGAAGCTTTATATCAGCTATATCACCAACACGTTAAAACTCGTCAGAATTCCTTAAAAACAAGACGACGACAACAATCAGAAACGAAAATAGAAGATAAAAAAACAATTCAAAAGATACAAAACCTAGAAAAGAAAATACTTACAGAAATATGAGATGAAAATTGAGAGGATTTGAATGATTCTAGTGTTGTTGGTAGGAGTTGTGCAGCAATGTATTTCTTGTGTTTTATGAAAATGAAATAACTGTGACTTATGAACGGATCTGAGGGGAAGGCTGACGTTTTATACATGACGTGGCGAGCGTTATTTGTGTGTTGACATTGGCCACTTGTTTAGATGAAATCACGATATTGCCCTTTCTTTTGATTTTCCAGTTAAGTTTCGAATATTTGTTCTCCTTTATATAGGATGTTAAAGCACTTTAAAGTTTAAACCTAAAAGTTAACTGTTTTCGTGCTTTTTTTTATTTATTTATTTTTCTTAAGAGATAAGGATGAATAAAGAACGATGGGAAAGTCAAAGCCGGTAAAAAATCCGATTTAGTATAACACGGTATTTTATTATTTGTCATGGTTTATTTGAGCAATTTTAAAATAACTAAAAAAAGATAGGAATATATATTAAGCTCCTTTTAATTAGTTAAAATATGCTAAATTTATACAATCTAACAATTAATTAATCTTATAATTTTAGTGAAATTATTATAATAAATAGGAATGGTTTAAAGTTAAAGTTGATATTAAATAAAAGTTTAACAATTGTATTGAAAAAATGGAATAAAATAAAGTAAAGAAGAAGGATGGAATAGGAAGAGAGAAAAAGATTGATTGCATCGAGAAAGGGAAGAGATAAGATTCTTGAGTTGGGCAGATGAGTCTTGTTTCTCAACTACAATTTGTCATACATCCATTTTTATTATATTTGGATTTGTGAGAAGTGAATGCAAGCCCAAGGCCAAGAAAAAGAAGAGCCCAATAAGAGGGGGTATGGAGATTGTTATTTTTAACGTAATAATTAATTTGTTTAACAAATAACTAATACCACTCTATTATTTTAGATATTTTTAACATAAAGGAAACAAAACTCTGAGTATCCTCATTAATTAAACTGCTCTAAATTAATATGGTTGGTAATTATAGTTGGCAGCTGGGACAAAGTTGTTTTAATATAGACCAAAAGTCAAACATTCAATAATTCCAATGTGAAAACAAAACACTGTGCTGCATGTCCTTAACTCATTTAATCTACATTTCAGAATTATTAATGACTTCATTTATGCTTTTGCTATTTTCAATTCGGAAATACCAAATGCAGTGCATAGGCAGAAGCATGTTGAAGAATAGTGAAGTCCAGCGAACATGAGTTTATGAATATGGTTGGCAATCAGCAATCTCATCAATTTATAACATTCTCAACCATCTAAGTTTCTTTTCTCTTTTTTTTTTTCTTTTTTTTTCAGTTTTTTTATTTTATTCTAGAACTCTGTGTACACCATATTGAATCTAAGAATACTTTAGGGCATGTTTATTTTTATACTATCCTGTCTCTATCATATCCAAAATATACATTTGTTTTCTTATTCTGAAAATCATATTTTATTTTATTCAATTATTTTTAAACCCCTCAAGTTTATTAATTTCACTAAACACCCTAAAAAAGGTTTAGAAATTGATAAAAACACTCTCACCCACCCACATTTACCACATTCCGACCACCACCACCGGAATGTGGCTGAAATCTAGTATAATGGCACACTATCAGCTGGATCTAATCGGTAGAGCACCGATATTTTTTGGTCAAATCAACTATAGATTTGGTTGGAAAATGCTAGATCTACAGCCAAAGATTTGGTTGTTGACAACCAGATCTTTGGCTGTAGCTAGTCATCAACGACGGCCATATGTTTGATCGTCATTGACAACCAAATGTGGCTAGATCTGGCTATTGAGATCTGGCCTTTTCTAGCCAGATCCACGGTGGATTTAGTTTGAAAAGGTCATATCGGCTCACAATCGGCTAGATCCAGTCGATCGTGCACCGATACAACGACTCCAGCCACCTTCCAGCGGTGGTGGCTAGCTACCGGCATTTAATGGGTGGGTAGTGGTGTTTTTGTTAATTTTTAATGTTTTATTGCAGAGGTGTTTAGTAAATTAACAAACCTATGGGGTGTTTTTGTTAATTTTTAAATCCTACCTCGTAATAACCACACAACTCTTACTTTTTCAAAAATCTTATCCAAAATAATAAAACTTTCTCACATACGCACATGTTTGATGATTGGCTTCTGATTTTCTTTTTTTAATTAAAAAATTAAATATAGCGTATCAAATCTTTCTTTCATCACAACTAAATTATAATTACAAACAAAGGTACTCAATTGAAAGATTCTCTCACAATTTTGATTGAAATATAAAGTTTTTTATTCTTTTGTTTTGTAATAATACACATAGAATATAATTTTTTTATCATTTTAATATTATTATCACGTTAATTTATTCAACACTTTACATTTCATTAACAACTGTTTATTTACTTAAATACAGTTAATTATATATATTATCAGAATAAGACAAGAGAGGTAAGAGAAGACTAAGCAAAGATTGCCTGAGTATGCCAGAGAGAAAGAATGGAGAAGAATAGTTTTACATTCAACTGTGTGTTTTCTACAAGTATACATTACCTATTTATAGTTGAAGTGTAAGGGAATAAAAAGGGAATACAATATTTTTCATAATGTCATAATCACACAAGAAAAGGTAACGGAATATTGATATTAAGCATAATATCAATCAATTGATTTACTCCAACATATCTATCATTCCTTGACTCACTCCAACACTCCCCCTCAAACTTACGGTTTGTATATGTCGTAAACTTCAAGCTTGCATAGTATATGTGAATGTAATATACTACATAATGGTTTTGTAAAATATTTACTGGCTATTCCATGGTTCGAATATGCATAGGTTGGATACCTTCTTGAACTTTTTCTCTAATGAAATGGCAATCAATCTTTATAGGCTTTGTTCTTTCACGAAATACTAGATTCGTTGCGATGTCATTTGCAGCTGTGTTGTCGCAGTATAGTGTGATATGCGCTTTTACTTGTATTTGCAAATCCTTCAAAAGCCCAAGAATCCAAATAATCTCGCACATGGTCTTGGCTATGGCTTTGTACTATTCAGCTTCTATTGACGAAAGTGGGACTGTAGACTGTTTCTTTGTCTTTCATGAAATGAGTGATCCTCCAAGTTTAACGTAGAAAACAATAAGGGATTTCCTCGTCATTGGACATGTACCCCAATCTGAGTCGCAATATGTCGTAATACTCAAGTTTCCATCTCGAGGTAAGAGAAGTCTCAGGCCAAGATCCTTTCAAATATATGAGAATCTTCATTGTTGCATCCATATGGGATTGTTTTGATGCATGCATGAATTGACTAACGATGTGAACTGCATAGCTGATATCTGGTCGTGTTATTGTAAGGTAAATGAGTCGCCTCATAAGTTTTTGATAGTGTGAGGGATCTTTTAGAGGTGGATCAGCTTTTGACGACGATGTCCCATTGTCATATTCTCGAGTGTTAAGTTTGGTATTTTGCTCAACAGGCACAATATTCGGCTTACAAGCTAATAATCCACAATCTGATAGGAGTTCCATGACATATTTGCACTAACTGAGGGAGATACCAACTGGAGATCTAGTAATTTCAATTCCCAGAAAATATTTTGGCTCTCCCAGATCTTTGATACAAAATTGCTTGTTGAGATACTCTTTCAGTGCTTTAATGGTGGTCTCATTGTTTCCTGTGATAAGGATATCATCGACATAAATTATGAGAGCGGTGAAAAAATTACCTTGTTGCCAAGAGAAAAGAGCATGATCGTGCTTAGATTATTTGAATCCTATGCTTGTGAGTGCCTTAGTAAATTTCCCATTTCATTGTCGAGATGCCTATTTTAAGCCATATATTGATTTTTGCAAACAACAAACTATATTCTCCCCCTATCTACGAAGACCCGGTGGAAGTTTTATATAAATCTCCTAATGAAGATCCCCATGAAGAGAGCATTATAAACATCCATTTAATGCAGTGGCTAGTCTCCAACAGAGGCAACAGAGAGAAAGGCTCGCACAATGACATGTTTGGCAATAGGTGAAAAAGCCTCCTAGTAATCAAGACCTTCTCATTGAGTCTTGGCAACAAGACGAGCTTTGTATCTTTTATGGTACCATCAGCGCGATATTTGATTTTGTAAACTCATTTACAACCAATAGGAGTCCGGTGAGAAGGATGAGGAACTAAATCCCATGTACGATTATCAGCCAGGGCATTAAGTTCAACAGCCATAGCTTGAAGCCAATGATAGTGTTGAATGACATCATAGTAACATGAAGGCTCCTGATTAGTAGAAATCTAACTAACACAAATCTTGGTGCAAGAGACAATCGGTCAAAACTAACATAATTAGAGATTAGATAAGTAGTACCTGAGGACTATGGATGGTGGGACAGACATAATCAACTATCCAAATAGGAGGTCGAATGCGACTGGAGGATCGCTGTGAGGGAACTATTTCTTCAATAGGGATGACAGGAGACAATGCCGAAGGATTGTGATTAGAAGAGGTGTATGTTGGTACATCAACAATGACTGGAGCAGAGTCGGTATGGATAACTAGAGATCCTGAATCTAGTGGAATTGGTGGGTCAGGAATAGGTACCATGGTAAGACAAGGTCCTAATAGAGATGGTGAGAAATCATCATCCATGAATGTAGACAAATGCTTAGGAGTTGATTGGCCAGCATTCGTGTCTTTAAAAGGAAACACATCTTCATGAAAGGTGACATCTCGAAAATGAAAAATCTGCTGGTATCTGGATCATATAGCTGATAACCCTTCTAAAGCATGGGATACCCATAAATATACAGCGAGTAGCCTGAGGGCCAAATTTGTCATAAGAACTGATAATAGTAGAGTAACAAAGGCAACCAAAGACATAGAGATGGCTGGTGTCAAAAGACTTGCCAACGAGAACTTCATGAAGTGTCTTTGCTCTAAGCACCCGGGTAAGCATGCAATTGACTAGGTAGGCAATAGTGACTGAGAATTTGGGCTTGGTGTTTGAGGGCTCATGCCACTTCTAATAAGTGATGATGTTTATGTTCTACTATCTCGTTTTGTTATAGGGTATAAGTGCAAGAGCTCTTATG